AGGAAATATTAATGAATCTTGTAAAAAATCAGGAATTCCATGTTTCCTTCCTCTATTCCGGTTGAACACTTTACAATGACATTTTTAAGAAAACACTTTACAGTGAAATTTTTAACACTAAGAAAACACTTTACATTGACTTGTTGAGCTAATAAACTTCAATGCATGCCCCACTAATCACCCCCTTCCCACGCCTTTGATCAAGCATAAAACCATCACTAAACCACAATCTTCATCTCTGTTTATATTTGCTACTCACAAATGAAGAAAGAAAAAGAGGGTTTGATTTTTCAGTTGTTTAATTTGGTTTAACTTTAGTGAAGCAACATGACTATGGATGATTCTTTCAAGAAGCCAGGAGCCATTCCATTCAAGTGGGAGATCTAACCCGGCGTCCGGAAGCTTCAACAACCACAAGAACTGTTGTACGAACCTCGTAGTGGACTATTCCTACCTAAATACCACCACGAACCACCACCAAAACTGCAAAAGCAATCACAGCAGTCCATTTCATCAAATAAATCTTAAATGTTAGTGATTAAGCCATAATCCCTTCTTACACTAGTAATAGAGAGTAATAGACACATACACACACACAAGCGGCTAAACACACAAGCGCTGTCGACATGTAAGGTTCCACCTTACCTGGTGTGTGGGTTTTCTGATTCAAGATGTCCGGTGTGGGTTTTCTAATTCAGGGTGACCAGCGCCGTCCACGATTCAGTGGGAGAGAATGAGAGATTTTCTAGGGCTTGTTTCGGTTTTGGTCCTTTGGTCATGGAGAGACTCACGGTTCTTCAAGACCTGTAAATTGGACTTATATTTTTTTTTCTTGTCGGTCGGGTCGGGCGGTTTTTGTGGACCAACCCGTGACCCGACCCACCAGAACACCAAAAAATCGAACCCAAGCAAAAAATTAAAAAAAGGGACCCGAACCGGTCGGTTTGGGCTGTTTGAGTGGGTTGGGCGGTTTTTTGCCCACCCCTAAATGTGACTAGTGGAAAAGTTTTAATAGGTAATCACATGACATATCAAGTAAAAGGTGTGGGAACTATCACTTTGAACTTAAAAGGGAATAATAAGTT